TGAGATGTGAGGTGTTGGTCTGCACCTAGTGGGGGATGTCTCCCAGTTAGGCTACTCAGGGGTCAGGGACCCACTTGAGCAGACCGTCTGTCCATTCTCAGATCTCAACCTCCATGCTGGGAGATCCACTGCTCTCTTCAAAGCTGTCAGACAGCGGCATTTACCTCTGCCGAGGTTTCTGCTGCTTTTTGTTTAGCTATGACCTGTCCCCAGAGGAGGAGTCTACAGAGGCAGGCCGGCCTTCTTGAGCTGTGGTGGGCTCCACCCAATTCGAGCTTCCTAGTGGCTTTGTTTACCTACTTAAGCCTCAGCAATTGTGGGCACCCCTCCCCCAGCCTCAGTGCCACCTTGCAGTTAGATCTCAGACTGCTGTGCTAGCAATGAGGGAGGCCCTGTGGGTGTGGGACCCTCCCTGCCAGGTGTGGGATATAATCTCCTGGTGTGCCGTTTGCTAAGACCCTCAGTAAAGCACAGTATTAGGGTGGGAGTTACCCGATTTTCCAGGTGTTGTGTGTCTCAATTTCCTTTGGCTAGGAAAAGGAATTCCCTTCCCCCTTGCACTTCCCAGGTGAGGCGATGCCTCGCCCTGTTTCAGCTCTCACTGGTCGAGCTGCACCCGCAGACCAGTGCCAACTGTCTGACATGCCCCAGTGAGATGAACCCAGTACCTCAGTTGAAAATGCAGAAATCACCCGTCTTCTGTGTCACTCACGCTGGAAGCTGGAGGCTGGAGCTGTTCCTATTTGGCCATCTTGGGTGCACCCCCCTATATCCCCTTTTCATAGTAAGTCTTCAAAACCTGGTGGATATTTTGCACTTACCACACATCCCAGTTTGGACCACCCCTGTTTTAATTGCTCAATAGCCACGTTTAAGCTCTTTGAGTACATATATGATATGTGTTTTGTTTTCCAGTGCTTAGCGTATGCCTGGTACCTGATACATATGTTTAAATACTTGTTAAATGAACAAAGGAATGAATAAGTGGCTGATGGACATGGATAGGTGTGTTAGTCATCTATTGGTGTGGCTATCATATTAAGCAATGCCAACATAGAAAACAGGTTTTCCCAGTGTTCTGCAAAGTGCTATTCAGGCATAGCTGCAAGATAAGCCTCCAACTCCCCACTTCCAACCAGAATGGCTCCTGGAATCCCTCTTCTGCAGAAGGGAGACTAGTGAAGCAGTGATGGGGAGTGTGGCCTTGAGCCAGCTGCCTGCACTTAAACTTAACCTCAGCTACTTTCCAGCCACAGTATCTTAAGCAAGTTATCAAATCTCTCTGTGTTTCACTTTTCTCTTCTGAAAAATGAAGATAATTTAGTTCCTCTCAGAGTTTTGTGAGAATTGTTTTAATACATATACAGTGCTTAGAGCAGTGCTTAGAATACAGTAAGCACTTTATAAATGTAGTCTGTGTATAGAAATTTTAAAATGGCCACTGTCTCCTGCTCTTTTAACATAGAAATCTGATTCTGCCACTTCTTGGTTAAAACTCTTCCAAGATTTCACTGCAAGGACCTGACCCCTGACTGCCTCTCCAGTCTCCTTTCAAGCCTCTTCCCTGGCTGTCTGCACTCCTGCCTCTGTTTTCACTTCAACTCCTCCCCACTTGCTGGTCCTTTGCCTGGAGCCAACTTCTATTAATCCTGTCAGTTTTGCTAAAATATTATTTCCTCATGGAGGCCTTCCCTGGACCTCCAGATTAAATTAATTCCCCTTCCTAAACACTTATAACATGCTATACATTTCCTCTCATTGCACTTGTCCCAGCTGAAATTACTTAGTTTTAGGTATGATTAGTTGTTAATGCCTGTGCCCTCACACCCTTCTACCCTATGGTAAGCTCTTTGAGGACATACATCATATCTGTTTTCTTTTCCCGTGCTTAGCATATGCCTGGTACCTAACACATATTTTAAAATACTTATCAAATAAACAAAGGAATGAATAAATTGGTGATGGACATGGATAGGAGTATTAGTTATCTATTGCTGCATAATACATTACTACAAACTTACGAACTTAAAACCACACACATAGATTATCTCACAATTTCTATGAGACAGGAATCCAGGCATGGCTTGCCTGGGGTCTCCACTTAAGGGTCTCTCAAGAGGCTGCAATCAAAGTGCTGGCAAAGGCTAGAATCTAACTGAAAAGCCCAGCTAGAAAAGGATTCTCTTCCAAGTTCATGTGGCCGTCGGCAGGGTTCAGTTCCTTGTGGGCTGCTAGAGTAAGGGCTCAATTTCTTGCTGGCTGTTGGACAAAGCCTGCCTTCAGTTCTATGCCATGTGGGCCTCTCCATAGGGCGGTTCACAATGTGGCAGCTTGTTTCAGAGCCAGTGAGGGAGTCTGCTAGCAAGAACGTTATAATTCTTCATAAATGTTATCATGGAAGTGGCATTCCATTGTTTTCCATAGTCTGTTGGTTAGAAACAAATCACTGGTCCTGCCTGCACCCAAGGGGAGGAGAGTATTCAAGGGCCTGATCACCAAGGAGGCAGGATCATTGGAGACCATCCTAGAGTCTGTCTGCTACAGTAGTCATGAGGACAGATGAAAAGGTCCACCTAATTTGGTAGTTAATCGGTAGTATATTGTATACTCCTTGTATATGTAATTTGCCCTTCATCTGTTGTATTTCCTGTGCATTTTATTGTGCTCTATGAGTCTTCTGCAGCTCACAGGTAATGGATGCCACAGTCAGACTAAAAATCAACCTCGAGGATGTTTTATATACAGCTGTAATTCTCAATGCACTGTAACTGCCCTAGAATCATACCATTTCTTCTCCTCTAATATCCCTTCTGCATGTTTGGCAATATCTCCAAAAACTGGTTTTGGAACATGATGAACATATTTGGTACCAAAAATGCTGAATATCAAAATGGATGTTGTTTTCTTCTGGGCAATGAATTTAATACTTGCACTATTCTATGTGATTTCCCATGTGGAAATCTTTTCAGAAGCCAGATAGATTTTTCAAAGCATAAATTCATCACTATGCTTTGATGGATGAAATAAGTTTCACTGACATTTCAAATTAGCATTTCTTTTCCTAATCTTATCCCATTCTTAAATGCAGTGATTTGTGAAGCAATATTATATATGCTTCTCCCAATCTTTCCATAATGTATACCCCTTTCAAATGCTAGTAGATGGGTATTTCTTTAGCCAAATTGTACCATTATGTTTTACTCCTCTCTCAGAAATTGTTCCTCCTGAGTCATTTTATTACTTTTTCTATCCTCCCTCCAGTTTTGCTTTTGGTTCCGTTATTTGTAATATAATAAGATGCTAGGACAAAAAATAAATGCAGACATGCACTTAAAAGAAAATAATTACCTGAAAAACATCAGAATATTTCAATCTGTTGTCAAGCGATATATAAGAAAGCTACTGATCCTCACCAAGATGAGGCTAAAGCTAAATATTTTTTCTGTCCAATCCCACAGTATCCTACCTCCAATTTCTGGTGACCTTCTTTTGAGAGTCAACACTGCTTGGCTATTCATTAATGGAAAATTCATGCTTACTACCCAAATTCACAAACAAATTGTGATTCTGTATGTAATGGTCTTGTTTGTGGCATTGTTTGATTATTTGCTTGAATAAGCCCTTCTTTAGGAATTTACATAACCCAAAACGTAAGTGCTGATTTTTCCCAGGTGTCTATAAAACAATTGGCCTTGATAGCAGTCAGCCTTTCTAGCTTTTATTCATCATCCTCTTTTTTGAAAGCAAGGACTGTATTTTCATTTTTATGATTTTCGCTTCTCCTAATAACCACCTGCCTCTCCCCAAACCTCATGAGCCACTCTGACGCCTCTGCCCCAGGCCTCCTCAACCCAGCCCTTCCTTCACTCGAGTGCTGCAAGGGCTCAGACTCCAAGAGGGTATGTTCTGCAGTGGAAGGCACACAACTGTGAAGCCAGATCAGATCTCTACCATTTCATTCCTTCCTTCCTTCCTTCCTTTCTGTTGTTTACACAGTACCTGCCGTGTATTAGGTGCTAGGGTCTATGTAGGATATACTGTGTGACTTAACCCAGCTTCTTCCTCTGTATAATAGGTGAAAATGAGGAAATTCTTAAGATCAGGGGTCATGTATGTGAAGTACCTACTGGCATATCTGGGACCCAGCAGGGCTCTGCAAATGGCAGCTAAAGCTCCTCCTAACTGTGCTTTCCCTGCTATGTCATGCTCCTGTCATGTCCGACGTCTACAGATCCTGCTTTCTGTTTCTAGAGCCACTAGATCCTTCTTGTTCCCCTTTCCCCTTGATTTCTGATCCGACTAGAAAAATTAGTCATACTGCATGTACTGAATAGCCACAGATGCAGAGAAATGTATTACTACTCTTGAGATAATATTTGATTCAAAAGACCTCTCTTTGAGGCCAGGTGCATGCCTGTAATTCCAGCATTTTGGGAGGCCAAGGCCTTGGGAGGATTACTTGAGCCCAGGAATTTGAGTCCAATTAAGCAACATAGTGAGATTTCATCTCTACCAGAAAAAATAAATAAATAAGATTTCTGGTCAACCACAGTTCTGTGTTCTACATTTTCATCATCCAGTATTTTCTGCTGCTTTCAAGATTGGTGTAGTTCTAGAAATTCTTGACCTGGTATCCAATTCTAGACTTTGATAACATGAGCATCTAGGTTTTATTTAACAATACAAATTACACTCAGGAAAGAAGGAAGAGAAAATGATTAAGCATCAAATTTAGGCATGATACTTAAAGCTTTCACATACATTTAATGCTTCCAGCCACCCTGGGAGGGAGGCTTATAGAAAGTAAACCATTTGTCAAGACTTGTAAACTTTTTAGGGGTAGAACAGAGACTTAAAACCCACTATTCCGTGACTGGTAACCAGTGTCAAATCCATATTGCCTCCACAGAGACATAAACAGTATTTTTCTGTAACTCATTTATTTTATCTCTAAATGTCTTTATCCACAGACCATCCTAAACTTCTTTCTTCTCAAACAGGTCATAGACCTCAGCAACAATGATCTGTCCACCATCCTACCAATGATGATCATAGCTTTAGAATTTCCCCATCTAGTGGTTGACTTGGCTGATAATCACTGGCAGTGTGATGATAGTGTGACAGTCTTTCAAAATTTTATTTCTGAATCCTGGAGGAAAACATGGAATGTCATTTGCAACAGGTGTATAGGTAAGTCAGTAACATCTCTCTGAAAGGCTCCGTTTATACTGAAAAATGCACATAAACATTTTAGTCTCATTTGAAATAATGACAGTCCCCCTGAAAGCAAAAGTGCTGACCCTTGGCATTAGTCAGTCTGTGTCATAGAAAAATCACTGGTGCCAAATAACTGTTTTCCTCAGTTCATCAATTATTTTCTTCATGTGGTCGAAGAAACACAGTTCAACTCACTCAGCATCAATTGGATTTGGTCAAAAGGAGGAATTCCACTAGAAGAGAGTTTTGTTCTGACACACCAAACTTTATTCTCAAGAACCCTAGACAGGCTGTTGGCATTAGACAAGAATTAAAAATTGAGTAAAATTTAATGTCACAGTTTTATCCAAATTCCTAACAAATAACCTATTAAAGAACTTTTAAAATTAGAAATATAATTATTTTAGATGTTTGCTAACATTCTAAAGGTGTGATCCTCTACATACACAAAACACACACACATATTACAAAAGCATATTTTCCTTTGATTTGTTCCTTGCCCCTCTCCCAAAGTGCTGGAATATGTTACTGGGGTTGAATATTCTGGGAAGCTTTTTTTTACATTAACTACCTTGGCTAAATCTCAACCTCATATATAGAAAAAAAAAAAAGTCTATGAAAAAAAATGAGTCATAGATTCTGTTCTATTCAGGACTGCCATTCAAGTAGGAACACGGCCATGCCTACCAGGTTTAGAGGAAGTTCATGAAGATCAGAGAGAAGTCTTAATGTCATCAGCTACATTTGTTTCATTCCACAACTGACATTCTGAGGGTAGAGAGCGAAATGTCAGGAACCAATAAAGAAAATGGAATATTTTTGCTGTTTACTAGTACATGGAGTAGTTAAGATTATGGAGGAAGGAGAAGCCATGTACATGTGGCTGTCCCTCTAGTCTGGCTTCTTCCTCCCACAGGCAGCAGTGAGGCAGGAAGCCTAAGGTACATACAACCTCCAGGACCTCTCAGCAACAGACCTCAGCCTGATAGCCATGTATAAATGCATACAACCATAAACATGCTGTTGGCATTAAACAAAAACGAGTGAATGAATAATATTTTTAAACTGCTGATCATGATGTAATGTACACTTTAACATGTAGCTAGATAAGGACTGAGGAGGACTCACAGAAGCTTCTGAAACCCCTAGAATCTGGAGCTGGGGGCAGTGGCTCACACCTGTAGTCTCAGCTGTTCAGGAGGCCAAGGGACAAGAATTGCTTGATGCCAAGAGTTTGAGACCAGCCTTGGCAACGTAGTTACAACCCTTGTCTCTGTAAAATGGAAAATAAAAAAAAGCAGCCCAGGTGTGGTGGCACACACCTGTAGTCCCAGCTACTCTGGGGGCTGAAGTAGGAGGATCGCTTGAGCCCAGGAGTCTGAGGCTTCAGTGAGTTATTATTGTGCCACCCCTCTCCATGCTAGGTGACAGAGACCCCAATTCTGAAAAAAAGAAAGAAGAAAAGCCCCTGCAATCTTATTTCAATGTTTGCTTAATGTGTATTTTTTTAATCCCACTTTCAGGGAGTGAGGAGGCCAATGGGGGTACTCCCCAGAGCAGGATTTCCAGGGAAACCAGCCTTCCTCCCATTCATCTGCATCCCGTGAAAAGCCTCATAAGGAGCAAAGCAGAGAGGCCTCAGGGAGGAAGGCGCATGGGTGTTTCCATTCTGGGGAAGAAAGCAAGGACCAGCTCTGGTCTCAGGGAGAAGCAGAGATGGCTGCCAAGGAGTGTTAGAAGCACCCGCGATGTGCAGGCTGCCAGCAGAAAGGAGGACGCTTCCCAGGACCTGGCTCTGGCAGTGTGCCTGTCAGTGTTCATCACATTCCTTGTCGCCTTCTGCCTGGGGGCTTTCACAAGGCCTTATGTTGACAGACTGTGGCAACAAAAGTGCCAGAACAAAAGCCCTGGCCTGGACAACGCGTGTTCAAACGAGGGCTTTTACGATGACATCCAAGCTGTGGGGCACACACCATACCCAGAGTCCCATCTGCGCCAAGCATTTCCTCATCTAAGCCTCTACAAGAACCAGACCCCTTTCTGGGCGACACAGCCACACTCACATGCCACCATAATTCCTGATAGAACTCTGGGAAGCAGCAGGAAGGATCCTGGCAGTCCGCAGAGCTCAGGACAGTGCGGGGACAACACCGGGACAGGAAGTGGAAATGATAGTGCAGTCTATTCCATTCTCCAGAGACACCCACATGCTGGTAACCATGAACTAATGTCAGCAACACAGGATCACATCCATAGGAATGATGTTCTTGGAGAACGGACTTATGAAACTGTGGCCCAGGAAGAGTCTCTCAGTGCACATTCAGTGGGCGTCTCTTCTGTAGCTGGCATGTCTCGTGCTATCTCTGGCTCCTCTCACGCTGTCTCTGGCTCAAGCTGTTATGATTCCAATGAATTAGACTTGTCCCTCTCCGGAGAAATGACAGCTTCCCTCTGTAAAATGCTAACACATGCAGAAGCACAGAGGATTGGAGACAGTAAGGAAAGAGGGGGCACTGAACAGTCACTTTGGGACTTGCAGATGGAATTTTCTAAGGAAAGGCAAGTGAGTTCGTCCATTGATTTGCTGAGCATACAGCAGCCAAGGCTCTCGGGGGCAAGTGCTGAGGGAGCACTTTCAGCCCACTACAGCGAGGTTCCACACGGTGACCCAAGAGACACAGACCCATCAGTCTTTCCTCCAAGATGGGATGGTGGCCTGGATATCACTCCTGCTAACAAGGAACCAGTGCAGAAATCCACTCTTTCTGACACTTGCTGTGAGTTGGAGAGTGACTGTGACTCTGATGAGGGGTCTCTGTTCACTCTGAGCTCCATAAGTTCAGAAGGTGCGAGGAGCAAGACTGAAGAAGCAGCACCTGACGAGGAGCCCCTGCAGGACGAGAGCTCAGGGGCAAGCAAGGACAATGTGATGGCTATAGACAGTCTTGAGGACAATGTCACCTTCCAAACAATTCCAGGGAAATGCAAGAATCAGGAAGATCACTTTGAAAAACCTCTCATTTCCACTCCAGACTCTGGTGTGTACAAGACTCATCTGGAAAATGCCTCTGACACTGACAGATCTGAGGGCCCATCACCCTGGCCCAGGTCACTGGGGAATAGTCCCTTAGGGGATAAGATTCCGGGCATGTTTACTTATAATTATGACACAGCTTTTCAATCCAAGGCAGCAGAATGGCATTGCTCACTTAGAGACTTAGAATTTTCTAATGTGGATGTTTTACAACAAACACCACCATGTTCTGCTGAAGTTCCGTCAGATCCTGATAAGGCTGCCTTCCATGAAAGAGACTCAGACATTTTAAAATAAGAAATTTTCATTAAGGAAATATTCACAGCTCTAAACAATATTCCTTTAATGATCATGGCAGGGGAAAACTAAAACCTTCACAACAAGATCCTGAAGGAGACAACATGAATTCCAACCAGGTGGACACTGATGCAAATGAGGGTTTTGTGGGCCCACTTGAAGAGGATGATTCTAGAAGGGTTATAAGCTAAATACACTTGTTAACATCCTGTGGGGATGAACCTGCTCTTCAGTGTGAAAGAGAAAGAGGGGAATATTTTGAGATCATTCCAAGAACCATGCACCATTATTACAAGAGCTCCCAAACGAAACCAGTTCACTAAGAACACAGGAGCACTTCATCAATAGGTTGGGATAAATATTCAGAAGATAATCTGTTGCAGTTAGACAAAATGATTCTAACTTTCCTTCTTAAATATAGACCCGGAGCAATCTGATGGGATTTGGCTCTCTGAAAAGAACAGCTTTAGGATGACAAAGACAAGGATGTTCAACTTTATCATCAAAGAGAATTCAAGTGACATTTTTTCATACATATTGAAGCACTTAAGTGGAAATGCTGGATAGATTTTAATGAATTCTGAACACACACTAGCACAACTTTTTGGAAGCTGATCATGAAACTGCAAAATTGAGAAAATTCTGAGTAATTATAAATGTTTTTAAATAAGTTATGTTAAAAGAGAAGTGGGACCACTTTTTAGAACAAAGTGTAAATTAAAAAATCAATTTTCAAGAAAAGAATTGATGATTTCTATAAAGAAAAAGATTCTCTGGCATATCCTTGCCTAGCCCTTCCTTGGCATGACTTGCTACACTCTAGCCATCATGAGCTGTGTCCTTCTGTTCATCCTCTGCTTCACAATATTTTCTCATCTTCCTTCTTGATATCCCCCCTCTGCTTGCCCTCTTAAAGACAGCACTCCTCAAGGGTGTTTGTTTATTCCTAGTCTTTCTTTATGATTCCTTTCTACTTGAACCTCACTGCCTCAGCAACCGGCTCTACACAGATACGCCGGATCTGCATGGCAAGTCCTACCTCCCTCCCAAGCTCCAGACTCGCATTCTTCACCCTAGTTGCCCAAATTCATATAGGTCATCTGAGCATCTAAAATTCATTGTTGTTTTTTTATACAAAATAGTAATAGACTCAAAATCTCCCTATATTGCCCAGACTAGTCTTGAACTCTGGGGCTCAAGGAGTCCTCCTGCTTCAGCCTGTCAAAGTGCAGGGATTACAGGCATGAGCCACTGTGTCTGGCCAAATTCATCTTTTTCTTTCACAAATATAATCTCTCATATTCCCTTTCTTGGTCAACAGTATCATAACATCCACCCAGTAAACCCAGTTAAAATTTCTGACTTATCTGTCTCCTTTTCATTTTCTGTATCTGAGCAGCCTCTAAGCTCTGTGTGGCGGAAGTTCCTGAATGTCTATACAGGTGGACATTTAGGCTTGACAATATGGAGGAGGGCTAGCCAATTTGTGTTAAACCATTGTTTGCATAGAAAACACACTGTTTTTACTTACAGTGTATATTTATTTAGGGTAGACTAAGGTTGAAGGTGTTGGGGTTCTGTGGAAAGGCCTTAAGAGCCCCCTAGTCCACCTGTTGGCATCATCACTAGTCCAACCAGATCTAACTCCTCAATAACTCTTAACTTTGTTACATGTGCTCTCAATCCCCAAATAAAGCACATCCCTTGTCTATTACCTAGATTATTACGACCTTTAGTACTTCTCCTTGACCCTCATTCACCCCTAAATAATCTTATATCTAACCCATCATGATCCTGCTCAAAAATGTTTGATGTCTCCCACTGCCTGTATAAAAACCAAATTCCATAATCTAGACACACCCTACCTTTCCGACTTCATCTCATCACATTGTCACTCAACTGCACATTCTACATTCTGGTTTATGTCATGTAACATTAATCATTTATTTATTTCAGCAAACCCTTTAGACCTTTTCTGGGCCCCTTATCAATTTCTCCCCAATTGCTATTTTGAACTTTCACTGTCCTTGACTTTTCACTGAGAATATTTAGGAAGAAGCTCCTCACTCACCTACTCCATAGCTATGTGCACTTCTTATGTGCACACCTACCCTCATTCATGTCCTCTCATGACCCAAGGTCATGGGTCCATTCATGTTTCTCTTGCATGCTCTTCCAACCTCCCCCTATCTAATGTATTCTTCCCACAGGATAAGCCTGCTCAAGTCCCTTGGATACTAAAAGAAAATGCCACCCTGCAGCTCCCTCAAAATGCCACCTTCTTCTCTCATAGCTAGGTGTCTCAAAGTGATGGTCAGCAACTCGCCATGACCTCTTCAGCACACTGCAGCCTGACTTTGGCTCACTTTTCTTTTGACCTGTGCCAGTAAAGGTCACCAACAACCTCCAGTTGCCACATACAATGGGCCCTTCAGTCTTCACCAAGGAAAACCTCTTCAGCATTCCCCAAAGCTTAGCTTAAGGAAGAAGCATAGGCTCCTTCTTTGACCACCGTTGACTACTCCCACCTTGAAACTCATTTTCAGTAGTTTTTGTGATACATCTCTGTAAAGATGAGGTCTCAGGAGTACACAGATGACAAGAAACAGGGATGACTGAAGAGAGTTTAATGAAGGAATCATTTGCAAAGATCTAGGATTAAGGTAAACTAGCAAGGGAAGGTGATGGACCTATAGGCTAGCAGCAGGGGACAGCCTTGACACCCTTAGATCTGTAGAGATAAGGCAAAGTTGCAACCATGAGGTTGCCTAGCAGGAGCCCTGGTCTTTGGCAGACCATAGCCAGTAACAATCCATTTACAGCAGAAGGAAGCCAGAAGGTGATCATCCCAGCCTTTCTCTTCTCACTCTCCAATCTCCTGGCCATGACCCCAAGTGGCTGAACTCTTGAAGCCAGAGGATAAGAGAGGCATTGATGTGGTCCACAGCAATCAGCCTTCCAGGCCACAGAGCAGGATGGAGAAGGATAGTGGATTTGGAGGGGCAAACAGAATATCCAGTGCACACTTCCTCCTAATTTTTCTGGCTCTCTGTGATTCTTTCTCAGGCTCCTTTTCTGACCCCTCTTCTTATACTAACCTCATAAATATGTGTGTTTCTCAGGGCTTGGTCTTTGGTCCTCTGGTCTTTTCACTCAGTTCACTTTCTCCATGTGAGCTATCAATCATCATGGCTTCAACCACTAGCTAAGTGTTGATATTTCCCCTTTCTATAACTCTTAGCTTTGAAATCTTTCTGGAGCTTTACACTCACATCCAGTTGTCTATTAGCTATCTCCATGGGCACCTCAGACTAAGTGTATACAAAATGAAACCTGTCAGCTCTCCCTAACCCTCCTCACTCACAGAATCTGATCCTCTGTGTTCTCATCTCACTAGCTACCCGGCTGCTCCTTCCAGAAATTTGAGTCATTCTTTTGATGTCTCTCTCCTCCTTTCCCTTATCTAACTCATTAGTCACTAACTACAGCCAATTCTAGCTCCTAAGTACCTTCCAAACGTATCCCATCCTCTCTGTCCACATTGCCACAGCTTTTGCCTTGACAAGCTTTCACCTTGACGCTCTGAGATCTATCGTGACAGTACTTTCTGTATTTTCTGTATCAGTCATTATTCTCTAGAGAAACAGAATCAATAGGATACATACAGATAGAAAAATACTTATTATGAAGAATTGGCTCATGTAATTATGGAGGCTGAGAGGTTCCACAATCTGTTGTCTCTAAGATCAAGGCCCAGGAAAGCCAATGGTAGAGTTCCAGTTTAAGCCCAAAGACTTGAGAACCAGGAGAGCCAGTGTTGTGAGTTGCAGTCTAAGTCCAAATGTCTGAGAACCAGGAGTGCTGATGTCTAAGAGAAGGAGGAGATAATGTCTCAGCTCAAGAAGACAGAGCAAAGCCCTCTTTTCTCTACCTTTTTGTTCTGTTTAGTCCCTCAATGGATTGGGTGCTGCCTGCCCACATAGGTGAGAGCAATCTTTATTCGGCTGCTGACTCAAATGCTAATCTCTTCCAGAAACACCTTCACAGACACACCCAGAACCCATGTTTTACCAGCCATCTGGGCATCCCTTACCCATCAAGTAGGCACATAAAAATTAACCATCACACCTCCCGCCCTACATCTCTTTACTATTCCTCACACTGCAGCCAGGGGGTGGTTTCTAAAATGCAAATATGATTATGTGGCTTCCCTGAGTAGAGACCATCCATTGACTATAGTTTTTTTTGTTTCCCTAAATCTCCACATGTAACTGGAAGAGGTTCAGTCACTCACCACCTGCAGAGTCCAATTAACAAGATTGAGTCTGACATAAAGAAAGTGACTTTATTCCAAAGCATAGCTTAGGGGAAGAAGTACAGATTCCTGCCTTTAAGGATATCACTTCACTTTTGGGGCAGAAAGCAGAGGCTTTTAAGCAGGGACTTGCCATGAATGGCATGCAGGAGAGGGAGCAAGCAGGTGTAGGGTCTGCATGACTCGCTTTGGTGTTGTATCTACCAAGCTGGCACCATCGTGGGCAGAGCTAGGTTGTAAGGTGGCCACCGTCTTGCGATCCACTCCAGGTGAGAGAGAGCTCTGTTGCGAGAACACTTCAGGTTGTAAATTGACTGTTGTCTCTTGAGGCCATCTCTTGGTGGGAGAATTCCCTCTCTGGTGCATAGTTATTAGGTTGATGCAAAAGTAATTGCGGTTTTTGCCATTACTTTTGCCAGATTACCTTGGCACCAAGCTAATAGATAAGCTTGCTCTGTAGGAAGTGTCTGGTGAAGGGAAGGTAAAGGTTATAATTTCATTTATAAAGAGCTAAGAAGTGAGGAACAAGGGAAAAGGGGGAAGAGAAAAGAAGGAAAAAAATAAAACATAATCCATTCTTTTTCTCTTAGAAAAGAGGGGGTACTTGGTTATACACATGCCTGTCCATCTCCCCGTTCCTGTCCATGTTGCTCCGCCCAAAGCACTTTTTCACAAACAAGCACTCCTTTAGCTGACACATTCCCACTTAGGTGTCCGCCATATTGTTGTCTCCTCAGGGAGGACATCTCAGACCCCACACTAAGTTAGATTTCCCTGTTACAAATTCTGTCATTACACAGCATTGGCCTCCCTACATGAGAGCTTATCACAAGTAAAAATAAATAATTAGTCATATGATTAGGTTTAATGTCTGTCTGCCCCTTTAATACTGTAAGTGCCACACAAACAAAAAAATTGTATCTGTCTCCCCAAGACTTGGCACTGAGTAGGTCCTTAATACATGCATTCATTAAATAAATGAAAGAGCAAACTTTAGTGCAGTGTACAAGGACATCTAGCATCTGTCCCTGCTTACCACCCAGATTATATTTCATGGTGCTTTGCCCCATTCCTAACATTCAAAGTTCAAGCCGGTGCACCAAGTATAACTGCTTACAGTTACAAACTCACCAGACTATATATATCATTCGACTATGTCTTGGCCTATATTGCTGCCTGCTTTCTGGGTGGTACCTCTGGCCTCCCCACCAAGTCCCATCTCATCTGCCTGGCAAATGGGGTACATGAAGTGGGGAAAACCACTCAACATGTAGTCAACTTTGTAACCAGAACACTAAGAAAAACAATCCTTGGTAGTTTGGATGCTCCAGATAGGCAGCTGGGCATGGTTAGAGGCTCTTCTTTGAATAAGCTGTTTGTGGATTATTTCCTCCATGAGTTTTTCTCACCTCATTCCACCCAAGTA